TGTGGCCAATGACATAACTCACCATTACCACCAGCAAAAGATGAATAGGCACGGAAAACTCCTTGCCTGTGTGCAGAATGAGATGTAGTTGATTAACTTGGACCATTTCTGTATATAATGAATGTGGCACGTGCTTTCACAATCATGCAGTGTTGGAAGCAGGGCACTGGGAGAAAGGACACTTCCAGTCTCATGGTTCTGATTTCTTTATCTTAGGGTCATCAGATCAGGGCCAGGATGCCACAAAGTGCTCAATGATCCATGGGAACTGAATCATGTCTTCATTCCAGGGCTTAATATATGCATTACATCACTATTAGAAGCAAGCAGCTCTGTGGTTGTTGGCTCCAACACGACTAAGGTCAAAAGTGGCCCTGGAGACCAAATTCCCTAGTGAGGGTTTGCCACACAACTCCATGTGTCCTTTGCTCCCGAATTCTTTCTTCTCCTAGCAACAACTACTAAACACCAAGCTTCCCAGGCTGGTATTATGTCTACATAAGGTTCGTTCTTCTTGTAGCAAAGCACTGGAGAAATACAAGTGAGAATCTGTTGTTATGGGTTAAACTGTGTTACACCCAACTTGTGGTGAGGGTCCAGCTTCTTTTTATTACACTCCAGTTTTGTTGTAATCACTACTGCTTGAAATAAATGGGCAATTGACGGGGGCTTAGAGATAACTGGGATGCTTAAGTGATTTTTACAGTGGCAGTGCTTGTTGTAACAGAAGCTGACCTGTATTCTGGTTATTACTTTTATTCATCGCATTGGAAACCTGGCACTCCCACTGTTCATGCCGTCATAGGCGGAGCACTGTAGCATGAAAGTCACTTAGGAAGCTATCAAAAAACTCTCTGAACACATGGGGCTCATGAACAATAAAACCTCAGGTAGGGGAATTTTGTTTTGTTTAGCTAACTGTTCTGGATAGTCAAAGTTTATTCCTTTTAACCCCTAAGATGTGTTTGTTTTTTACCGTTGGTGATATAAATATTTCTGAACTGTATGACATGCAAATATTGTCTTCTGAGTATAATGTAGTTTCTTTAGGTGTGATGCTCAGGGTCATTATTTGAATATAATTATACTGTCCTAAGATACGATGAGGCTTTTAGGAATTGAGGTGTGCACAGTGCTGGTTTGACACTTAATGCCTGCCCAACACTGCTTTCTGACCTCCTCAGCCTACTTAAAATTTTGGCTTCTTGATTACAGCCCTTTGTCCTTCTTGACCTAAGTTTCCTCCAGAAATCTGCTTCTCACCCTTAAACTTAATCCGCTTCTCACCCTTAAATTTAATCTGCTGTAGGCTTGGAAACTAGACATCAAAATCTAGAATTATGTGTAAAGTAGGAATGAATCGGTTCTAAGTGGGTGCTTTGTAGGTAGATGGATGACCTTTCTCTTATATGTTTGCTTCATGACATTTATTTTAACTGTCAGAAGCCTTGTTTGCTTAGTTCCTAGTCTGTCATTTCTGAATGGGTCCAGCAGAGGTTCTAGATTTTTCCGGTTCTGTCTCAGTGACTCATTGCCAAACCACTTGTTTGGATTTCACATTCAGGAAGTAGTGACAGGTGAAGCTGACAGATCGTTGAGCCCAATGTAAAGGAGTTGGTGTGAAGGTTGTGGGCCATTTTTGTACGGTGAACGGTATGCTGTGGCCCTGATGGCTGAACTCAGTAAATGAACTATAAAACAGACAAGCTCCTTCTGCGGTCCCTTTCCAACAATACAAAGCTGGCCCAATGTCAAGCTGTTGAGGATGCCTTTGAGATGTTAAACTACGGACTGAGTGTCAGAGTTGGCTGACTTTCGGGATTCCAAGTCTATGGCAACAGAAACCATGGCTCTGCCTTTCCTGCTGATTGCATTATTTATGGCCCTGGAATAAAGAAGGTAAAGCAAGTCTAACAGTTGCCTCTTTGTAAAAGTGCAGTTTCAGGTTAGAAGAGGGTTTCATTGCTGTCCTTAGCCCTCCTTCCCTCACTGGACACTGGACTTTGCAGACTGTGCAAAGCGAAGCCTAAAAAGGGGTAAATTCCTTCACCACAAGGCCATACTATCCTT